AAGTCTGTGCCGACTGAGCGCTGCTGCTGCTACCGCCTCTGCCGCTGTAATTGTGCAGCGGCAGGGGCAGCGGTGGCGCAGACGACGACGATCGCCGAGTTCCAGACGGCGGTGGCGGCGGGCGGGAGGGCGCTGCTCGCGGATCAAACGACGCCCGGCAGCGGCGCGGGCTCCTTCTCCACCGCTGGATGAAGATCGCCGCCGACGACGACAGAGTTCGTGGCGTCGCGACGATTCGGGGCAAACGCGCGCGACGCCGGTTTTGTTTTGGCTCCCGCATGCGCGCTGCGCGGCGTCCGTCAACCTCGGGGAGCGTGAGCGCCGCCTCCGCTGCCGTCTGGAACGTACGATATCAGGAAGCCACCTGGAGCTGTGATGCGCTTTTAACTCATCGAGATTGACAAACACATCAATATAGAAGTGATATTTGTGGTTGGTTTGTTGTCCTCCTCCCCCCCCCCCCCGACACCACCGCCTCCAGACCTCCGATTAGCGCAGATGGCTACGTACGGTGCCAAAGAAGTTCTACATACATGACATACATAGAGGTATGGGGCTAGGGCCACGCCACGTGACCGGTTACGAGCCCTTTACGGTGGAGAGGTGGCGCAGTGGTCAGCCCACTGTGCCGTGTACCCGGACCGCCTTAGTTGGATTCCCGACCACGGCTCAAATCTCAACCGGTCGTGCCTCCCCATCCCACTTGGCCAAGCCACACTGACAAAGATCCCCCGTATAGGCTGTTGGGGCAAGTGCCATCAGCGAGCACCTCTTGAGGGCGGCACAGCACACCACGGGGTGAGTGGCAAACACCACGCCCGGAAGCCGCCTTCATCTCCCCAGTTGCGACGTGTACAGACTGTGCCAGGTGTTAATTTAAGGCTGAGTCGACCTCGGGGAGGCCCAGGGAACGGTTTAATTCTCCACTGTTAACGACCGTAAGCGGGAATCGAACTCGGGTGGCTGGGTGCGTAGTGCAGTGCGCTAACCACTGCGCCGCCGCTCCCCACACATCGTCCGTCACCACCCGCACGACCGACACGGCAATGGGGGATGGGGTGGGGGGGGGGACGTCCTCCACCAGTGAATTAACAGAGGGCTGTACAATTAATTAAAACTCCACTATTGAGAGCGCTATCACAGATTCATTCACGACTTGTAACCGCAGACAGCAAGCAGTGGCGCGTTGCTAAGCGCAGTGGGCGAAAGTCGAAACCACAACGCTATGAACCCAACATCAGTGGCTTGCATCTAAAAATAAGTGTACGTATGTGTGTAAGATGAGGCAATTGAGATCAGACCTCTGGGGTTCATTAAAACATGGAAACATGGAAACATTAAAACCAGGGGTTCATTACAACACAGCGGAAACAAAGCAACAGATTTTGGTGCGTAAACAAAACCAAAGAAAACAAACACACAGCTTGTAAAATGTACAACGCTATCGGCAATACATATTGTAACACCCAAATGATACACACATTACACGCTAAGTGTTACAATATACACGGCATGCGATTGCGATCAGCTGTGCTGCACCGTGCACGATTGCCAACCTGCGCTCCCCTGTAACGAGTTCAACCCCCACCCACGGGCACGAGACGGCCAAAGGCGCAGCCCTGAAATGTCTCTCCCTCGCGTGGGTGACCACGCCGCAAGGAGCCTCTCCCAGTCGAGGGAGCGTCCACGGGGGGGGGGGGGGAGTACGGCGGCTTCCTCGCTTGACGTGGCGGCGTTCACACCACGACACGTTTGTGGCTGTCACGCGGTTCTCCAATTAGGGGGCGCTTTTTGCACGACGCGGGGAACGCGCGCCGTTTTAATGCGGGGAACGCGCGCCCCGTTATAACGCGGTTTCTCAGCAGTCGGCGACGAGCAACACGAGCGGCTGAAGCGGAGTGATTCAGTACACGAAATGATGCTGTAGCGCGGCGGCGTACCCTCAATGTGTTTGTTTTGCCATCTCGCTGTGTGTGCGTAGTGGTCGTGGTGGCGCTTCATCCCTCGCCAAACTGTATCGTTACATTATATATTGGGGGGGGGGGGGGGGGGTTGTTTTCACTTAACGCGGCACTTCTCATTAACGTATCTACTACCGCGCTAAAAACGCGGACTTGCCACGCAGCGTGTGGTCCCACACTTACACGCCGACCGGACGTGGTGGTCGAGGCTGGAGTTACCCACCACCACCACCGCCACACGTGGCCTGCCGACCTCCTCGCCAGTGCTGTGTGTGCATCTGCTGTGGACACTGCTGGGTGGAGACAGAGAGCGGGGCACCGCGGGAGATGGACTCGAACTGACGACTTCAGTGGATTGCAACTCGAGCGGGCTCCCCTTTTTCAAACGCAATGTATTCGGTGATGCGACTGCTGATGCTGCTGCGTTGGCAGTGGTGCACAGACATAATAAACAACAACAACAACAACAAACAAGACAAAATGTTGATTTAAAGCTTTCGTGACTGCAGGGATTCATATTCTTGGTTCTTTCGGTAAAGTCACGTAGAAGGGAAACAATAAAATAATAAAAATATCAAACAATACAATTCTCACGACGTTTCGACTGCAACACAAGCAATAATCATCAGGTGTGGAAACCACAGCAAAAAAAATTGAAAAAAGTGGAGTTTTTTTTGTAACGTTAGCACCACGGAGAACGATTTGGCAGTTATTCAGATGGACGAGTCCATCTATGTTCGGAAAAGAGGAGGGGGGAGACGAAAATAATGGATGCGGTCTGAAAGCCACCGTAAGCGTGAACAATCAATTAAGACCCGAAATGGTTTATCAAATCCTTCCAATGATTGCTAAGCCAGAATCCATCTTCTCGTTTGAAATTGTCTCTGTGTTTGTATATGTGGATAGCCTCATGAACGAATATCTCATGGTAGCCAGATGGCTTGCAGAGAACCTCTGTCTTGGAGAAGTCAATGTCATGTGAGCCTACTGAATATAACAGTGATCTGCTACGGCCGAGGTGTTCGTCCTACCGTGTTTTAAGTCTGCTTTGTGTTCACGTATGCGGTCCGAGACATGTCGTTTGGTTTCTCCAATGTAACTACTACCACAGAGGCAACTTACAGACGGAACCAGATCACGCATTTTATGTAATGTGTTGAATAGGACCTGGATCTTGTGTTTATTCAAGATTTTGGAGATTTTTTTGTGATCCCCGCAATGTAGGGTAAAGTGATGGTTTTGAATGGCTCCTCAAGAGGGTCCTTCTTCATGGTTGGAGTGATAGCTTTGCGGATTGTGTAGTCGGAGTAACCATTAGCCTTAAGAGCTTGGTGTACGTGCTTGAGTTCACTGGCTATGTGTTCCTGGTCGGATATGCATTGGGCTCTATAGTGCAGAGTTCTGTCCCCAGACGACCTGCTTGTCAGTTTGATGTAGTTTCCTTATTCACCAAAGTTCCTGTGCCTGACACCATCGCAATCATTGAAGACTTGGTTCATCAAGGACTAAACACTGAGGTACCCCTCCTGGTGAGACACTTATTCAAGACAGATTATCTGCAAGCCATCTGGCTACCATAATAGATTCGTTCATGAGGCTATCCACATACACAAACACAGAGACAATTTTAACCGAGAAAATGGATTCTGGCTTAGCAACCATTGGAAGGATTTGATCAGCCATTTCGGGTCTTAATTGATTGTTCACGCTTACGGTGGCTTTCACACCGCATCCATTATTTTCGTCTCCCCCCTCCTCTTTTCCGAACATAGATGGACTCGTCCATCTGAATAACTGCCAAATCGTTCTCCGTGGTGCTAACGTTAAAAAAACCGCCACTTTTTTTCAAATTGTCTTGCTGTGGTTTTCACACCTGATGATGATTGCTTATGTTGCAGTCGAAACGTCGTGAGAATTTTATTGTTTTATATTTTTATTATTTTATTGTTTCCCTTCTACGTGGTGACTTTACCGAAAGAACCAAGAATAACAAACAAGACACTCAACACGTTCGTCAGTAACAACAACAACAACAACACTCTGTGTGGCCTTCGAAATAAAACGTTTCAGGCAATGGCCCTGCTCCGTAGCGCATGTGACGCGGTGGTTGTGAGACTGAATTCGCGGCGTCGTGAGGGGTTGCACGCGTCCCTGCGCGGCTGCAGAGCAAAAGTTGCCACGCCTCGAGACGTGGGCGTTTAAAGGGTCCCTGTGCAGCTCAAAGGATTGGCCCTGTGGGCATTTTTAAAAGGAATCGGCCCTCCGGGTTGAATAGCCGAGCGATTCCTTAACGCGTGCGTTGAATGCTATTTTATATATATGAACTAAAAATATATCTATATATGATGAGAACGATGGCGTAAAGAACCACCAAAGAACCCAAAACGGTCAGCAACAAACAGCACTATTGAAGGTGACTGCGTTAACGGGAACCCGATCTCGAACGCATTTGATTGTTGATCGTGAGTGTTCGACTCGAGACCCCGATTGTGAAGGGTGGGTTCGGTGGTGGGGGGGAAGGGGGAGGTGGAGCGGGGGGACAGGGAGGGGGTGGGAGTCTGACAGCTCCATTGCTGGCACCCCCCCCACCACCATCACCTGGTAGGTAATTAACAAATGAAGCGCCAGGTGTAACAGGTAGGACCGCATATATGGAGGGATTGGGCGTGAAGGCTATTGGAGGGAATTTTCACTCCCCTCTCCCCTCCACTCCGATGAGGGAGCGGCTCTGCTCCGCCTTTCGCTGCTGGTTTCAAATCGCAATGTTGGATTGTCAACGCCGCACGTGGCTTCATTCATTCGCTCTCTCGTCGTTCACTTGTTCCGGTGATCCATTCGCACATTTATGAGTCAATGCATCGCTTCGTTAATTCCATCACTCGCGAACCCATCCGTTGTGCCTTGAATTCGTGCATGAATTTGGTCATTAATAAAGTTACTCATTCATTCATAAAGTCATTAATCAATTCGGTAATTCATGAAGTAATTAATGAATTTGGTCATTCATAAAGTCACTCATTCATCCATTGGTATACGCTACAATGTCTATTAATTAATGTATGTATGCATGTATTTGTTATTAATTAATTAACTCATTCTATAAAGCTTTCTTACATTCAGTCGCGCGTTCACTCGGTCATCCATACATTGGTTCACTTATTGTTTCCTTCGGTCAGACATTCGATCATCCTTCAATCCATCATCCATTCATTCTTGGATGGAGAAGCATGCTGGGAGTGCCAGCACCAAGTGATTGTTGGACTCCCATCGAGAGGTAAGAGATCCGACTTCAGCCTCGCTAGAATATTATAAAACAACTCCTCGCTTGTAGAAATGTGTCCGGGATCTGCATGCGATCGCACCGTCTGGTTTTCCTAATTCGATTTTTTTTTTAACCAGGAAAAACTCCAAAAAACGTCACCCCATATTTCAAATAAATAAATAAATACTTAGAGACATCATGAAAGTATTTTCTAGATCCTGCGGGGAAGCCTCGGCGAGTTCTCAGGGCTCTTTGAGCAGGGTCCCATATACACTGAATTTTGCTAAGGTTCATCCGCACAATTGTTAACCCACCAACGGTATCCGTAATACTGAACCCCAGCCGCGTGGGTACGTGGCATGACTTTAAACACGCACACAAAGGACAAAGATCCCCCGTATAGCCTTAACAGACTGTTGGGGCAAGTGCTGTTAGCAAGCAACTGTAAAGGCCAGAACGGCACACGAGGGGGTGGGTGGCCAGCATCACGCCCGGCCGCCTTTGTCTCCCGAGTGGCGAAGTTTTTACACATCGCACCAGGTACTAATTTGAGGCTGAGTGGACCTAGGGGTGGCCCAGGACCGGTTCAGATAATCGTCACTAGTGGGAATTGAACTCGGGTCGCCAGGGTTCGTAGCGCGGCGCGCTTACCGCTGCACCGCCGCTCCTCTAACACACAAAGACAAGACAAAGACCTCCCTTTAGATTTTCTTTGATCGGCTGTTGGAGCAAGTGCTGTTAGCGAGCACCTATGAAGACCGGAACGGCACACGATGGGGTGGGTGGCCAGCACCACGCCCGGCCGCCTTTGTCTTCCTCGTCGCGATGTTTTACACATCGCACCACGTACTCATTTGAGGCCGAGTCGACCTAAGGGAGGCCCATGACCCTTCAGATAATCGTCACCGGTGTTCGGCCGTGAGCTAACCGCTACACTACCGCTCCCCATAACACAACATGCACACACATTGAGATTAGGGCTGAACGATTTGGGAAAAATCTCTAATTACAATTTTTCCGACAGATATTGCGATTTGATTTGCGATCGTAATTTTTTTTTAAGTCAAGCTTCAGTTCAATATCCACTGTAATAGATTTAAAACATGTGATGGAGAATTACCGCATGATACCATCAAAATTTGAACTGCTCTATACATTATTATGCATGTATTTATTTAAAAATGTAATTGAAATAGAACAATAAAACATATAATTTTTTTAAGTTAAATAAATAAAGTTATAATAATAAATAATTCCAATCAGAAAGTAATAGGACTTTCAAATCGCAGCCTTTGCGATTTGCCAATCGCATTGTTTCAAATTGCGATTTGAAATCGATTCATCGTTCAGCCCTAGTTGAGATGATGCTGGGATTCGATCCAGGGGTAGAGGTTGGTGCGGGCTCGGAGTGCTGACCTGCGTGAAATTGTAAAAAGCAATCGTCAGAGTTTCACCGAGAGAGCTTCAAGAGCTGGTGGCGGCAGGGTTATACCTGGGGCTGTGGGTGCCTGCGAAGCGTCGTGGGGGAGATATCCACGACTCGCTGAGAAAACCTCTAAGCTCGTGGTTCAATGTTAGAGCCCGGGTTTAGGTTCAGGAGCTTCAAGAGTTGGTGGCGGCAGGGTTATATCTGGGGCTGTGGGTGCCTGCGAAGCGTCGTGGGGGAGATATCCACGACTCGCTGAGAAAACCTCTAAGCTCGTGGTTCAATGTTAGAGCCCGGGTTTAGGTTCAGGGGCTGTGGTTAGGGGGATCCGGACTTTAGGGCTCCAGGGTCATAGGGGTGGAGGCGCCTGCGTGAGATTCCAGTCACGATCCCAGGTGTTCCCTGCCGGTGTGGGGGGCGGCGGCGGCGGGGGAGGTGAGCCGGCAACATCGCACGCGGGGAGTGGAACCCATGTCACTCGCACGCCAGCTTCCCGTCGAAGCTGCTCAGCGCGATCGCGAAGGCTTGGAGGGCGCACATTGGGTAGCTGTAGTCCATCGTGAACACCTCCTCGGCCACGCGTCCAAACTGCATCACGATGTAGTCGACTGAGAAAGGGACGTGGGGGGGGGGTAATAAAGGCGAGGGTGGGTAATAGGGGCGGGGAGGATAATAGGGGCGGTGGGGTAATAGGGACGGGGGGGATAATAGGGATGGGGGGGGTAATAGGGGCGGGGGGTAATAGGGGCGGGGGGAATGGGTGAGAACAATAGCAGACGAACGTCGCATTGGAACGAGAATCGTTGAACGTTTGGAACGGCGTTGGCTGCGCTCGCCCCACCGTGGAGATGGAGTGACGGAATCTGTGGCCCGTGCGGAGGCCCCAGGGGGTCGTTGCGAATCGTGGAACCGTGAGAAAGTAGCGATGGCTTGCGGAGGGGGAAGGTGGGGGACGGGGGGGGTGAAGAGGCCTTAATCCAGCAGTGGATTGATCATAGCTGTTGCTGCTGATCAGGAATTGATCTCGTGTACGTATGCTGAACTTCTTTCGCACCGTATGTAGCCAGCCGCGCTAGTCGCAGTAGATTGTTGCTTCACGAGCCAACCCGAGCTCTCTGGAAGCCCTGGAGAATAAAAAGCCCACGTGTGCCCCCCCTCCCACCCCCTTTTTAAATAGCTACAAAAACACAGACACACACACACCCTTTGTGTGGGGGGCGGCGGTGGTGGGGGTCTCTTTGGTGTGCGGGAGTTCCGATAAAATCATCCCCTTTTTTCATCTTCCCCGAACGGGGCTTTGATGATGACTGATGATGTTGATGTACGTTCGTTGAACTTCATTCGCAAGCAACGTACCGTAGCCAACCGTGCTAATCGGAGGTGCCGGGGGAAGGACGACAAACTAAACACAACAACAACAACAACAACACGAAGCAAGGGTGACCGATGGGTCACGGTGATGACGACGATGACGACGGTGACGGCACTCACGGTCCGTGTCGTGCACGATCTGGAAGTTCTTGACGGACGCCTGGGTAACTCTGCCGTGGAAGTTGAGCACGTAGCTCTGCGTCTCGTCGTTCCACACGGGCGACTTGTTGTGCAACTCGATGAGTCCCTCCAAGCTGCGCATAGTCCAGCGACTCAGCAGCGAGTCTCGCTCCTGCACCCGGGGGGAGGGGGGGGGTGTTGCGGGGGAGTTGCGGGGAGGGAGAGGTGGGGAGGAGAGGGGGGGTGGGTGTAGGTGATGGGGGTGAGGAGGGGAGCGGTGGCGCAGCGGTTAGCGCTACGCTGCGCTACGACACCCGCCGACCTGAGTTCGATTCCCGCTCACGGCCACTACCAGTGACGATTATTTGAACCGCCCCTAGGTCGACTCGGCCACAAATGAGTCTCCAGTAGGGAGACGAAGGTGGCCGGGCGTGGTGGTGTCCACCCACCCCCTCGTGTGCCGTGCAGGCCTTCATAGGTGCTCGCTAACAGCACTTGCCCCAAACAGTCTGTTAAGGCTACACGGGGGATCTTTGTCTTTGAAGAGGGGTGGACGTCAAGTGGAGTGAGCGGGGGTAGGTGGGGGTGAGTATAAGTGATGGGGGGTGAGGAAGAAGGGTGAGCGGGCGCGGGAGTGAGTGGTGGGGGGGGATAGTGAGGTTGATAGGAGTGGGTTGAGTTGTCGCAGACGGGTGAGTGGGAGGGTGAGTCGGAGGGGGTGAGTCGGGGGGGGGGGGTGAGTCGGGGGGGTGAGTCGGGGGGGTGAGTCGGGGGGGGTGAGTCGGGGGGGGGTGAGTCGGGGGGGTGAGTCGGGGGGGTGAGTCGGGGGGGGTGAGTCGGGGGGGGGGGGTGAGTCGGGGGGGTGAGTCGGGGGGGGTGAGTCGGGGGGGGGTGAGTCGGGGGGGGTGAGTCGGTGGGGGGGGTGAGTCGGTGGGGGGGTGAGTCGGGGGGGGTGAGTCGGGGGGGGGGTGAGTCGGGGGGGGGGTGAGTCGGGGGGGGGTGAGTCGGTGGGGGGGGTGAGTCGGTGGGGGGGTGAGTCGGTGGGGGGGTGAGTCGGGGGGGGGTGAGTCGGGGGGGTGAGTCGGGGGGGGTGAGTCGGGGGGGGTGAGTCGGGGGGGGTGAGTCGGGGGGGGGGGTGAGTCGGGGGGGGGGGTGAGTCGGGGGGGGGGGTGAGTCGGTGGGGGGGGGGGTGAGTCGGGGGGGGGTGAGTCGGTGGGGGGGGGGTATTGCGACTGATCGTGAGCGAGGATCTTGGCGAGTGGCGTGCTGCTGATGCGAGGGTCTCACGCCGCGGGGTCTGATGGCCACGCGCTGCTGCTCGGCGTCCATGCCGGGGATGACGACCGCCATGCGACGCGGCCCTTTGAAGCCGAGGACGTTCGTCTCCTGCCGGCGGCGAGAGCGGGCGGGCGGGGTCGGCAACCAAGTCACGAGCAACCAGCCACCAGTTGCCAGCAACTAGTGGCCAGCAACCAGTTTACAGTAACGAACAACCGGTAACTAGCAACCAGTAACTAGCAACCAGTAACTAGCAACCAGTAACTAGCAACCAGTAACTAGCGACTAGCAACCAGTTTGCAGTAACAAACAACCGGTAACTAGCAACCAGTAACTAGCAACCATTAACTAGCAACCAGTAACTAGCAACTAGCAACCAGTTTGCAGTAACAAACAACCGGTAACTAGCAACCAGTAACTAGCAACCAGTAACTAGCAACCAGTAACTAGCAACCAGTAACTAGCAACTAGCAACCAGTTTGCAGTAACGAACAACCGGTAACTAGCAACCAGTAACTAGCAACCAGTAACTAGCAACCAGTAACTAGCAACCAGTAACTAGCAACTAGCAACCAGTTTGCAGTAACGAGCAACCAGTAACTAGCAACCAGTAACTAGCAACCAGTAACTAGCAACCAGTAACTAGCAACTAGCAACCAGTTTGCAGTAACCAACAACCGGTAACTAGCAACCAGTAACTAGCAACCAGTAACTAGCAACTAGCAACCAGTTTGCAGTAACGAACAACCGGTAACTAGCAACCAGTAACTAGCAACCAGTAACTAGCAACCAGTAACTAGCAACCAGTAACTAGCAACTAGCAACCAGTTTGCAGTAACGAACAACCGGTAACTAGCAACCAGTAACTAGCAACCAGTAACTAGCAACCAGTAACTAGCAACCAGTAAACTAGCAACCAGTTTGCAGTAACGAACAACCGGTAACTAGCAACCAGTAACTAGCAACCAGTAACTAGCAACCAGTAACTAGCAACTAGCAACCAGTTTGCAGTAACGAACAACCGGTAACTAGCAACCAGTAACTAGCAACCAGTAACTAGCAACCAGTAACTAGCAGCTAGCAACCAGTTTGCAGTAACGAACAACCGGTAACTAGCAACCAGTAACTAGCAACCAGTAACTAGCAACTAGCAACCAGTTTGCAGTAACTAGCAACCAGTAACTAGCAACCAGTAACTAGCAACCAGTAACTAGCAACCAGTAACTAGCAACCAGTAACTAGCAACTAGCAACCAGTTTGCAGTAACGAACAACCGGTAACTAGCAAACCGGTAACTAGCAACCAGTAACTAGCAACCAGTTACTAGCAACTAGCAACCAGTAATTAACAACTAGTTGCCAGTAACTACACACCGGAAATAAGCGACAATCAACAAGTATCAAAGAGCAAGTAGCGACGAGTAACCAACAGTCACTAACCGCTTGCGAATAACCGGTAACTACAAAACAAAGGGCCACTGAAACCGGTAACCGGGAACAAGCCTCAGGCGGCCAGAAACGTTGAGGGGCTTACTCAGTGCCGGCTCTGGGCCTGAGGGGGATGGACAAGAGGGGAGGGGGGGAGGGGGGGTCAGAGGGGGGTGGGGTCAGAGGAGGGGGGATCAGAGGGGAGGGGGGCAGAGGGGAGGGGCGACAGAGGATGAGGGTTGTAGTTGTATGCACGTATGGCACTTCTTGTGCACCGTACGTAGCCAACCGTGCTAATCTGAAGGAACATCACATTACGATTGTGCCTAGAGATGATAGATCATTAGGGGGGGGGGGGGCGGTGTGGAGGGGCGGGGTAAGGGGGGTGGAGGTAGTTGTTGGTGGTGGTGGGCAGGGGGTGTCTCTCACGTAGCACACAGCCGCCATCTCCTGTCGCAGCCCCGTCCCGTCTCGCGCCAGGGCCCCCCGCTTCTCGAAGCTGAGACCCCCATCAAACACCGTGAACTTGGTGCCCATGAGGTTGGCCCTGAGAAGAGAGTGTGGGGGGGGGGGGTGGGGGCGGGAGTGGGGTGTGGGGGGGTGTGGGGGTGTGAGTGGTGTGGATCCGGGAGTCTCTTTTCACGACGCGAGGCGGTGGTGATGTTGGTGGTGAGATGAGACGGTGATGGTGGCGGTCCACGTGATCGTGGTAATCGTGGTGGTAGTGGTAATCGTGGTGGTAGTGGTGATGGTGGTGGTCGTGATCGTGGTAATGGTGATGATGATCCCACCTGAGTTTCCCCACGAAGCTGTCTCCGTCTCGGGACAGATCCACGGGGTCTGTGGCGATCAGGTAGTTGGAGGTTTTGCTTCTCTTGCGCTTACGGCCAGCGAGGAGGAACACCTGCATAATTATCACCATCATCACCATCATCAGCATCATCACCATCATCACCACCATCAACATCAGTATCATCACCACCATCATCATCAGCAGCACCACCGTCAACTTCAGCATAATCGCCAACTTCAGCATCATCAATTATCATCATCATCAGCAGCAGTAGTACTACCAAATGCATCATCAGCAGCAGAAGCAACATCATCATCCGCTAACCTTCCCGTCGTCATCTCTCTCCATGTGCAGTACGGAGTTGGGGTCCATGCCATCACCATCACATCACAGCAGCCATCCATCAACATCTTCAACACTTTCATCAGCAGCAGCAGCACAATTTTCATCACCACTACTACCACATTCATCAGTTTTCTTGCCATCATCGTCAACAATCACCACCACAACCATGATAATAATCATAATCATCACCTCCACCACCACCTCCATCATCAATATCATCAATATAATCTAAATCATCAAAACTACAACCACCACCTCCATTATCAATATCAGCATCATCATCATCACTACCATTATCATCATCACCACCACCTCCATTATCAATATTAGTCTCATCACCATCAAAATCATCATCAGCATCATCATGATCATCATCCGCTCGCCTTCCTGCCGTCGTCTCTCTCCATGTGCAGGAAGTAGGTGGGGTACATGCCCCGGTCCATGCCCTTCTTGTCGCGGGTGATGCGGCACATGACCGTGATGCCCTGCGGCGCCGGCATTAGCGCGAACGCGTCCAGGTCGCCCACCTCGATCGGGGGGGTCCCCAAAGGGGTCTCAGCCGCGGCGTCCTAGCAGGGGGGGGGGGGGGAGTTGTAAGAGAGGGGGTAAAGGGGGGGTTAATAAAGCGGGGATGGCGGGGAGGATGGGCCGGCAGGAGGGGACGCTATGGGCACAGTCGAGAGGAGAGAACCTACAGAGGGGGGCTCGGTGGGAATGGGGAAGCGGAGGGGGGGTTACGGGGGTGTCGACGGGGTAAGGTTAAGAGCAACCTGGGGAGATAATGTGGATAATGGGGGATCTGCCACCCAAAGCGCCGTCACTTCGTTACACATTAACTCCTTTCTTGAGAGCCCTCTCCGTGTTTAGTTTGTTATCATTCTCCCTGCCAACGCCACCTCCCGATTGGCACGTTTGGCTACGTAGGGTGCGAAAGAAGTTCAACATACGTACGCGTCCATACGTAATGGGGGAGAAAGGGGAATAATGCAGAAGAAGTCGGTACCAGGGCCTCGTGAAGAGTGGGAGATCGTTATCAAGCCAAGGGATTTTTGGTTATCAAGCCAAGGGATTTTTGGTTATCAAGCCAAGGGATTTTTGGTTATCAAGCCAAGGGATTTTTGGTTATCAAGCCAAGGGATTTTTGGTTATCAAGCCAAGGGATTTTTGGTTATCAAGCCAAGGGATTTTTGGTTATCAAGCCAAGGGATTTTTGGTTATCAAGCCAAGGGATTTTTGGTTATCAAGCAAAATGTTTTTTGGTTATCAAGCCAAGGGGTTTTTGGTCATCAAGCCAAGGGGTTTTTGGTCATCAAGCCAATAGCTTTTTGGTTACCAAGTGGCGCCTTTATTGCACAAATCTGCCACCCAAAGCGCCATCACGTCGTTAAACATGAAACAAAATGAACGATTCTATACAGAATATCAAGCATAAGGCACGAGCACTCGAGTACACGGTATGCATAAATAACCCGATATTATTACACCCTTTAGATTGCGACAATCTTACGAAGCCAAATTATCGCCGGAACAGAGTTCGGGACTCGCGATTGAGCGGTGACCAGAGGCGGATTTAGAAACTTTACACGGGGGGGGCGGGGGGGGATGTCCCCCCGCTGCTCTCCCACCCGTGGAAAGTTTAGGGAGGTGATGAGTGGTGGAGGGTTTTATTGGGAGGTGATGGGGGTGGGGAGTGTAGGGAGGTGATGGGAGTGGGGAGTGTAGGGAGGTGATGGGGGTGGGGAGTGTAGGGAGGTGATAGGAGTGGGGAGTGTAGGGAGGTGACGGGTGGTGCGGGTAGTGCTCGCCTTGCCAGACTTCCCTCCCGATGGGGAGTCGCTCTTGTCCGGATCGCCATCTTCATCCGCACCCGGGCCTCCCTTGCGACCTAAAGAAAGGGGGTGCGCGGTACCCCAACTCATACCGACCCCTCAAGGCAGGTGGGGGGAGGGGCGGGGTTAGGGAAGTTCCAACCCCTACGGGTGGGGGGGGGGTAGGCACAGAAGACGCGGGCCGCGACTTCGTTTTCACGCGACTCGCGGCCACGCGAGACGAACCCGCCACTCTGTGACAGCGATTGGCGGTCCCCACCGTCGGTGCACGCGAAGCATCGTAGCCGCACTAATCGGGTGCTCGAATGGGGGAACATTCTCGACGCAAGTGGCAGGCAGGCAGGCAACAAGGGTGCGTTTGCTAATTAGGAGCGCGCACTGTGCTATGCACCGCGCGAGAGCCAAGTTTGATGCCCCGGCTAACATCAGTGGCGAGTGGTGTCCGAACTGCCCCACCATCATCACCACCACCACCTTTGCCAACACGCACTGATGTTTGAGCCGGTGGTATAAATTCCACGTTCTTATGGCGGGAGTGTGTTTATTCACTCGCAACCACTATTGACGTCCCTACAACAGTTTAATCCGTGTATCGACCCTGCAGCGATGATGATGATGGGCTAAGTCGTCCGGGAATTAAAATCGCACGCTTAGAATTCTGCGTAAGAGGCTCTCTCTCTCTGACCACCGCTGCGGTGAATCAAACAGTAGTTAGACTGGTGATTAATTCGATGCGTAATTGGATGGGTAATTAATGAGGAGTAATTACGCACGTAGAGTATAATCGGGGAGATGAGGTTATTGTTGTTGCTATTGTTGTTGTTGCATCTGTTTAGAGATAGCGGGGCACGGGCCCATTGCATCTTTTCCACGAAGTGGCATGAACAGAGGAGATTCTAGGAAAATGCATTAAAAAATCAAATAAATTCTGGCGAGTGTGTTTATGAGTGGCGGCGCACGATGGAGCAGTGTTTAGGTCGCTGCGCTCAGAACCCGGCGAGCCCGAGTTCGATTTCCGCTCACGACCAAGACGAGTGGCGATGATTGGAACCCCATCCTGGGCTTCCCCAAGGGTAGAGCCGCACCACCGATTCGCACGGCTGGAGGTACGTACGGTGCGAAAGAAGATCGACATAGGTACGGCCTCAAATTAGTACCTTGTGCGGTGTGTAAATACCAGCGCTGTGGGAGACAAAGGCGGCTGGGAGTTGTTCTTTCCACACCTCCCCCTCTCGCAGATGCGCCGTGCTGGCCTTAATAGGTGCTCGCTAACAGCGCGTGTAGATTACACAATCTGCGTCGGCTGCATGTATGGGGTACAACTATTTTGTCAATCCACTGCTGAATGAGGGCCTCCACCACGCCCTGCAGGTGGAGGGCGGGGGGGTACCTTGACCATACCTCTCACCACGCTTTGTCAGTGCGGGATTTGCGAACGCGGCAGTCGGAGCGGGGCATTAGAAGTGCAGTACAATAACGGCCCTTTGTCGCACGGCATTCCACCATCCCTAGCAACCTGTTGCGTGTCGTGCTCGGCCATCCAAGCAACGTCCAGCCTCAAGCCCTGCTCGGCTTGCGAGACGTGGAGGAGACCCAGTGCCGGATGATCCTCGTAGCAAAAGTAGCCACAGATGCTACGGACCCCGCACTTTCAAGCTATCAATTCCGGTTCAGTGTTTCTGCACTTGCTCTATTACTATAGTACTATACCGCCTTCAACTTTTATGTTTAAGGTTGGCGATTTGTCGTATTATCCGGCTGTATATCAAATAAAAAGTACAATTACTTTACTATGCAAAACATTTGCGTGTTTTAATATTTACGTGTTTTTTTTTTACATTTAATTTAAGGCCCCTTTATAACATCTGCTACAGGCCCCGCACTGGCTTAGTCCGGCACTGCAGGAGACGGGAGACCCGTCCCAGGTTTAACGACTGCCGCGCCTCCGTCCCGGTGCGCTGCCCATCGCGCTCCATCGCTTCCGCGATGTCTCCTTACGCCCGATTGCCGCCTTCTCCCGGTGAGCGATGCGCTTTGCTTGCGGGGAGGGGCAGCGAGGGGGGCGGTGAGGGGGACGGCGAGGGGTGGCAGTGATGTGGGGCAGTGATGTGGGCAGCGAGGGGGGTAGCGAGGTGGGGCAGTGATGTGAGCAATGATGTGGGGCAGTGATATGGGTAGCGAGGGGGGCAGTGATGTGGGCAGTGATGTGGGGCAGTGATGTGGGCAGTGATGTGGGCAGTGATGTGGGCAGTGATGTGGGGCAGTGATGTGGGCAGTGATGTGGGCAGTGATGTGGGCAGTGATGTGGGGCAGTGATGTGGGCAGCGACATTCGACCTCTTTTCTTCACTCGCTTCTCCTTCTTGGCCGGGGCAGCTCCGTCAGTGTTGCTGCTGCTGCTGCTGCTGCCCTCTGCGGGGGCCGCTGCCCCTGAGCAGCTCTTAGCCGCTGCCCCTGAGCAGCTCTTAGCCGCTGCCCCTGAGCAGCTCTTAGCCGCTGCCCCTGAGCAGCTCTTAGCCGCTGCCCCCGCGTCCTTTGCTGCTGCTGCTGCCCCCCCTAGCACCTTTATTGACCCTGAGCCCCCCGAAGCAAGGAAGGCGCTCATGGGGGCCGTCTTCCTCTGCGGGGGTTTGGCCGCCCCGGTGGTGGAGGGGGCCTCCTCGGGGGCGGGGGCTACTCCAGGGGCCGTTGGGGGGGAGGGGGGGGGGAGGGGAGAGCGAGGGGGGGAGGGGGAATCGGGGGCGGTGGGTGGGGGGAGGAATGGGGACGGTGGGGGGGAAAGGGCGGAGGGGAGGGAGCGGTGGGGGCACGGGGGGGGTGGAGGTGATGGAGGGAGGGAGAGAAGGGGGGGAGTTATGGGAGGGGAATATTAGGGGCGGGGCCGGGGGGTTGGGAGGATGCGAGGGTGGGGGGGGGGGGCACACAGGCAATGGGCAAATTAATAACAAAACAAATTAAAATCAACAAACTCAGAGAGGATAACGAGGCGGTGGCGACAAGAGAGAGAGAGAGAACAAGCCACGGATGGTGGTGATGGTAATGATGAAGGCGATGAAGGTGATGAAGGAGGTGATGGTGATGAAAAGGATTCCGATCCGCCCAACGATGTTTACCGTCCAATCCCGTTGCTTATCCTGCTCATGCTGTTGCTGATGGTCGTGAAGATGATGATTGTTGTGTCAATTACGTTGACGATAATTATTGGTTGGTGATGCCGATTCCGCTGATTGATTGAAAATTGATCCTGATGCAGCTGCTGCTGATGATGATAATAGTGTTTTAGTGATATCACTGATAGCAATTGTCTGATTCTGCTGCAGCTACTGCTCATGATGGTAATGCCACCGGTTAAGATATTTTCACTGCTGCTCCTACTGCTCCTATGCTCCTGCTGCTGCTATGCCACTGCTGCTACTGCTGATGACGACGACGAGGAGGAGGAGGAAGAGGCGGAGGAGGTGCAGGACACCTTGTTTCTGTCTGGGCTTCTTCTCGCGTCGCAGCGGCTGTTTCTTCTTGGGAGGAGGCGCCGCTCGGCACGAGGGGATCTCTGGGATGGACTCCACGGAGCAGGCATCGCCACCCCGGTCTGTTGAGACCATAGGCACGTGTCGGGGTGGGGGTGGGGGGCAGGTGGGGGGGGGGGTGAGGGAGCGAAGGTGGTCCGAGGCGGACAACGTGAGTGTATGCAACCGATGCAGGAGGTCCGGTTGCCCGTGTAACCATAAACGGGCACGTGGATTTCAACATCGACTCGATACCAGCCACGTGCGTGGCTGGTGAGGACGATCGTGGTGAGCACAAACTCACCATCTACCTCTTCCTCTTCTTCCTTCTCCACTTGCTCCTCCTCGTCCTGCTGCTGCTGCTGCTGCTCTCGTTTAGGAGCCGCTTTCCTCACCGCTCCTCGCGCCTTGCGACTCTTCCGATTCGTGGTGGCGCCGGGCTCGCCTGCGGCCTCGGGATCGTCGCTCTTCTTGCGAGGAGATTTGACGGACGAGCCTTTGATGCGTCATCGCCATCGTCATCACCATCACCACCACCACCACGGCCCAATGCAGCCGTGCACCACCAACCCCAAACCCGAAGCCACATCCACCCGCCGGAACCCCCCCCCCCAAAGCCCCCGCACCCCATCGCGTGCGGGTGATGGGTGATGGAGCAAAAAAAAATAAGGGGGGGGGGAGAAAAAACAGCAAAGGAAAACAAGCAGAGAAGAATAAAACGTGGACCACGGCAAGAGACCACGGCGTAAAGTGAGTGTGCATCGTGCTGACGGCGATGCCAATGGGGACCACGTGAATGGTCGGCGGCGTGAAGACTACTTTGCAAGTGGGTCGTCGAGTGAACGGGGAGTGAGAGCGAGCTTTGTCAGCGCTCTCTGTGCGAAGTGAAATGCGTGCGTCATCACGAAAGTGGGACACGGATTGACATTGAAGATGGGGGGTGGGATCCTGGGTAAGAGTGAGGGTGGGTAGGGGTTAGCGGTGGGGTCTGGTTGGCTGCGTCGGGTGGAGGAGGGTATAACGGCGCATTTACATTTTTGTGATCTAACCCAAACAACATTGTCTTCATGAATAATATTTTTTCGCGAAAAACCTTTTCGCGTGAAGTTGAATCGTCGTGATTTGGTGATTGTAGAGCTGTGATCGCGAGATCCCCCAGAGTTATCGCTGTCCGCCCCTCCCTCTCCATACGGACAATTAATTTATCTTCATAATAACTGATTACTAATCGATTACATAATTACAATACCCCCCCCCCTCCGCCTCAAATCACTGCATCCTGAAATGAGTTAAATGATGACGTCACCCTGCTGCTCTATTTAAGACCGGGAGCAAGCGAGGGCTTTACCATTCTGGCGAATTGCCCGATGATGCTGGATGTAATTACCAGCGAAACGTCGTACTCAAACTGTAAATGTTGTGGATTCACTCTTCAACACACCAGTGGGCTAAAGTAGTGAACTATTTGTCTTTTGTCAACGTGACACTTTTTTTGCTGATTGGCCGTGTCGGGTGGTGGAGGGTTACGACACATTTATAAATAACGCGATCTAACCCAAAAAACCTTTATTAGGAATAATATTGGTCGCGAAAGCCTACGTGTTAAACTAATTAATTTCTCGCGACTCCTGGGAACACATTCATTGGCGAGGGGGATGGGAGTTTGGGGGGTTCGGGCCCCCGGGAGTGGGAGAGCAAGGCGGAGGGGGGGTCCCGCGGCTCAAGAAGTCAATTTGAGTGTCAAGACGGCCGCCCTTGTGTGTGTGCGTGTTGTGTGTGGTGTATGTGTGGTGTGTGGTGTATGTGTGTTGCGTGTTGTGTGTGGTGTGTGTGTGTGGTGTGTGTGCGTGTGTTGCGTGTGTAGTTGTTGCACTAAAAAACCCATCAGCGTTTCCAGGAAAACTGCACTGTGGTCTCATTTCACTACAGGTCACCATCAAAATAAACTACGGGCGCATGTGACCGCTGCGAAACTCGAATCGCAACTCGGTTGCGCGCGACTCAATCACGCACGTGTTGTAATGGGCGACACGCGCGTGTGGTGTGTGCGTGTTGTGTGTGCTGTGTGCGTGTTGTGTGTGCTGTGTGTGTTGTGTGTGTGTTGTGTGTGTGAGTGTTGTGTGTGTGTGTGTTGTGTGTGTGAGTGTTGTGTGTGTGTGTGCTGCGTGTGTGAGTGTTGTGTGTGTGTGTGCGCTGCGTGTGTGAGTGTTGTGTGTGTGTGTGCTGCGTGTTGTGTGCTGCGTGTTGTGTGTGCTGCGTGTGTGAGTGTTGTGTGTGTGTGTGTGCTGCGTGTGTGAGTGTTGTGCGTGTGTGTGCTGCGTGCTGTGTGCTGTGTGTGCTGCGTGTGTGAGTGTTGTGTGTGATGTGTGCGTGTTGTGTGTGTGTGCTGCGTGTTGTGTGCTGTGTGTCGCGTCGTCGGCTGTGTCTGTCGCGTTCTCGCCGTTGCTCGCTCCGTTGGGGGTCTCCACGAGGGGCGCTCTCTCCTCCGAGCGGCGCGCCCGTCGCTGCTTCCCCCCCTTGCCGCTGCTGCCGCTGCCCCCTCCCGCCACCTCGGCGCTGCCCTCGCGCTGCCCAACGGAGCTGGGCTGCACCAGCAGCGGCTGCTGCTCGTTCGGCTTGGGCCGCTGCTTCTGCTCCAGCAGAGCGCGCTGCACGCAACACGCGACACGTGGACCGGGCTTCACGCACTGCGCCGCGGCCGAGCGCGAACACTTGCGTGCAACCTGGGTTTGCGTGCAACCTGGGTTTGCGTGCGACTAAATCGCAACCTGGTCTGCGTGCGATCGAATCGCAACTTTGGTTACGTGCGGTTGAATCGCAACTTACTTTGTTGCGTGCAACTTCATGGTCAAAGCCGGGTCCACGCCCAAGCGCGATCAGTTGCACGCAACCGACGAATGGGTCTTTGGCTGCGTAACTTTATCGAGTACGAAAATTGTGTTCATATCGAGGAGGGGTATCGTGCCTACGCGTCCCGGGTAACAGACAGGCAGACAGAGGGGAGAGAGTGCGCGCTGTAATGCATTCTCGATCTCAATCTTAGTTGGAAAGCGTTGGAAATGGATTGGGTACCAGACGTGAAAGAGAGTCTTGGAATTCGGTGAGACTTTCCTGAAAGAACGAGGAAGAAAACCCGTGCACACGCATGGGTTCTGCATGGGTTCTGCATGGGTTCTGCATGGGTTCTGCATGGGTTTTGCATAGATTCTGCATGGATTCTGCATGGATTCTGCATGGATTCTGCATGGGTTCTGCATGGATCCTGCATGGATCCTGCATGGATTCTGCATGGATTCTGCATGGGTTCTGCATGGATCCTGCATGGATCCTGCATGGATTCTGCATGGATTCTGCATGGGTTCTGCATGGAACCTGCATGGATTCTGCATGGATTCTGCATAGATTCTGCATGGTTTCTGTATGGATTATGCATAGATTCTGCATGGAACCTGCATGGATTCTGCATGGATTCTGTAACGCTGTCCAACGGGCAGTTTTATTCAGAGACTTTCACATGGCGATACTGACTTGACGTTTCAAGCCAGCCATCAGAATCAGAATTTTATTTATTCCGGAGGAATCCGATGAGCTATGAAGCTCTTTTTCACAGATGTTCAGTCGGAGCACGGGGTCAGAACGTAACAACAACAAACGATGCAAAGACACGGATAGGACTGCAAAATGTAGGAGAGGTAAACAAATAGCTTGAACAATATATACTCATAAAATTAAACTGTATATATATTTTATCTTACCAGCTAAAGGCCACAAATAACGTAGCTCAACAAAGTGGCTTGTTCATCATTAAGGTGTTTTGGGTTAGGTCGCGTGGAGGGTTACGACATATTTATACTTATGCGATCGAATCCAAGAACCTTTGTTATGAATAATTTTGGTCGCGAAAGCCGCCTGCGTGTTCAATTGGCTTATCGTCGTGTCGAATTTCATAGCAGCAGAATAATCTAAATCATCTCAATGCATGTTTCTCAGCCACACCTTTCTGGGGCGATACTCAGAAGCGGCGATGATTGACATGGATCTGTGTAGTGTAAAAATATTGATAAATTCGTAATTTAATGATCAGGATGTGTTACTGAGCACTTTGCGCGCGATGGGTAACTTCACATCACCACATCTCCACTCAACACATATGGTATACATTTAGTGGAAGAATTATATACAAAAAATAAAAACTCTGCCGGATGTGATACATCTGCTCGGGTAACAATTGCTTGCGCGTGATTTTTTTGTGTTGCTGTTTAGTTTTAGAGTAGGGAGTAATTAGCTGTGGCTGTTAAAGTGTCGACGATATATTTTAGCCGCGTCGTAAAACACCGCCACGTAGCCTGGTGCCACGGTGGCACGCGCCGTCGTCGACCGCACGTGGAGGCGTAAACAATGGCTAATAAAACAATGGCTAATAAAACAATGGCTAATAAAACAATGGCTAATAAAACAATGGCTCGCCAGATAGTAAAATGTTGTCCATTCGCTTCCCCAACACACCGGTGTGCTGTACTAGTAACGAATTGGCACGTTCTATTTCCGTGACAAACCTTACTAAATTGGCTGTGTCGGGTGGTGGTGGGTTTAACGACACATTTATATTTACGCGAACAAACCCCAAACAACCAGTGGTAGTTCTGTGCATATCACAGAACTACCACTGAGATACACTGTAGCTCTTTTTAAGTGACCTCTGTTGCAAACTGCAGTGGGGGGAGGGGGGGGCACTTTCCTACTTGCACAGCAACGATTGGTCAATGCGAGCAGCGAGGTGGGGGAGCCTCTAGGCAGGAGCAACCCCCCACAAACTCTGTTACTCACCAGAGACGATGGAACGGGGGTGGTGGCGTAGTGTAGGTGATGGTTGATGATCGAAAGCATGGAGAACAAACACACGCGCACACACACGTAAAGACACATTTCCCCCGTATAGCTATAACAAGCTGTCGGGGCAAGTGCTGTTAGCGAGTACCAATAAAGGTCGGACGGGCTCACGAGCGGGTGGGTGGTGAGTACCACCTTCGTGCCCCCGTGCAGATGTTAACTACCTCGCCTGGTATACAGGAGGTCGTGGGTTCGATCCCAACCCTGACGCCTGCTGTATATTTGGAGTGTGCGTGTCTCTCTCTCTCTCATCATCATCACGGTGGCTAGGAGATGTTAACTACCTCGCCTGGTATACAGGAGGTCGTGGGTTCGATCCCGACCCTGAAGCCTGCTGCTGTATATTTGGAGTTTGCGTGTCTCTCTCCCCGTGGTCAGTACGATTTTTTCTCCGGATTCTCCGGGGTTTCCCTCCACATTCATAATCAACATCACGCGTTTAGAGTATTTGTCTGCTGCTATACATTTCCACGTGATGATGATGATGAGCCACTACGTTGAGCTATCAATTGTGTTCACGTCGCTTCTGAAAAAGAGCTACATAGCTCAGTGGGCCTTACCCGGTAAAATAAAAAATAAAAAGTTGAATAGCTTCGTCTAAGAGTGTACACATCACTCCAGGTACTCATTTCAGGCTGAGTCGACATAGGGGAGGCTCCGAACCGGTTCAGATATTCGTCACTGCGATTGGCCGTGAGCGGAAATTTTATTCGGGTCGTCGGGTTCGTAACACAGTGCGCATAACTATCGCGATACCACTCTCCACACTAAGAAAACAACAACAACAACCCCCCATGTAGCCTCTCATCGCAGCACCTATGAAGGCCGGCATGGCACATGAGGAGGTGGTGCGAGGAACAGCGCCACGCCCGACCGCCTTTGTCTCCCCAGTTGTTAAAATTGAATACACACCGCACAAAATACAGTAGTCATATTCTTGGTTCTTTCGGTAAAGTCACGTTGAAGGGAAACAATAAAATATATATTATTTGAATAATATATTATTTTAATAATAAAATATATATTATTTTATTGTTTCCCTTCAACGTGACTTTACCGAAAGAACCAAGAACATGAATCACAGCAGTCACGAAGGCTTTAAATAAAAAAAATATACAGTAGTCATTTCAGTCTGAGTCGACCTAGGGGAGGTCGGTCCAGCACACGTGCACACGCACACGCGCACCGCACACCGCACACGTGCACACGCACACGTGCACACACACACGTGCACACACGTGCACACACGTGCACACACGCACACACGCGCACACGTGCACGTAAAAACGCACACACGCGCACACACACGTGCACAAAACATAGGAACGATTGTACGATGATGCGACAACCAATAGGAATGAATAATCGCTGATGACGCCACACAGATTAAGAAGGAAGAGAAGCCCAACAGGTGATGGATTGGGGGGGAGGGAGGGTTGGGAGGGTGGTGGTGAGGGTGCTGGGGTGGTGGGTGCCGGGGTGCTGGGGGGGGGGGGTGCTGGGGGGGGGGGTGCTGGGGGGGGGGTGCTGGGGGGGGGGTGCTGGGGGGGGGTGCTGGGGGGGGGGGGGTGCTGGGGGGGGGGGTGCTGGGGGGGGGGGGTGCTGGGGGGGGGTGCTGGGGGGGGGGGGGTGCTGGGGGGGGGGGGGGGGGGGGGGGTGCTGGGGGGGGGGGGTGCTGGGGGGGGGGGGGTGCTGGGGGGGGGGGGTGCTGGGGGGGGGGTGCTGGGGGGGGGGGGTGCTGGGGGGGGGGGTGCTGGGGGGGGGGGGGTGCTGGGGGGGGGTGCTGGGGGGGGGTGCTGGGGGGGGGGGGGTGCTGGGGGGGGGGTGGCGCGCTGCGCTACGAACCCGGCAGAGACCCGAGTTCGACTCCCGCTCACGGCCACCCACACCACGTGACGATTCTCTGAACGGGCCGTGGGGCCTGCCCCTAAGTCGACTCGGTCTGAAACGAGTGCCAACTGGGTACCTGGTGCGGTGTGTAAACGTCGCACACTGGGGAGGCAAAGGCGGCCGGGCGGGGGGTGCTGGCCACCCACTCGCTCGTGTGCCGTGTTGGCCTTCGTTTGGTGCTCGATAGCATCACCTGCCCCAGCAGTCTATAGCGGTTACAGGGGGTTGAGGGGTGGTAATCTTTATCTTTGTTTCTGATGAGAGCGGAGAGTGGAGAGAGGGTGTTGCGGGGGGGGGGAGATAAGAAGAGTTAGGGCGCGTTATCTCGACTCTGGCGGCTTTGGCTGGCTTACACGCACGGGCAGCTCTGCGGAGAGAGTCCGCACACGTGTGTGTCACGTGTGTGTCACGTGTGTGGTGTGTTTGAGCGGTGGCGCAGTGGTCAGCGCACCGCCCTGCGAACTCAGCGACCCCAGATTCAATTGCCGCTAGCGGCCACAACTTGAGTTGAATAATGATCAGAAGCGGTCCTCCCATAGGTCAACTCAGCCTTGTACACGAGTACGTGGTGCGGCGTGTATATTAAACGTCAATCGGGTGCTGTTTTTATGTTGCACTTGGACGATTCGATTCAGTCTCCAGGCGCGGCAGTTGAAACAATGAGGGCAAGTTTTTATTTTGTGTTTTGTATAAATCCATCCTCGCACCACCCCACATCTGCCCGCCTGGCTGCGTAGCTGGGTTCACCGCCGTTACATCAATCGGCAGCTCCCGTGTGACGGTGGGGTAACGTGTGAGTGTTCCTACGTCTTTCGAGGCGTCTGGGTAGCGTGGAAGAGTAGGCCAAAGC